CGCCCGCAGGGAAGCTGAGGAAAAGTTCACGTATGGCATTTCCGTTTATGTACGTTGTATGGGGGCTGTGCTCTCGGAATCCAGTCTAACGGGTGATTTTGGGGGGGGGGGCGCACGTTGAGGGTCGTAGGTGGCGGTAAGCTCCATGCTCATCGGGTGGCCAGACGATGTCTACGTCGACTACGATCCTACCACGTGGGGAGCCAAGTTTTTCGCTTTCGTAGCACTGCCACCGCACTGCTTCCTTTGAAACGACCAACCTTGCGAATCTAATCTGCCTTGTGAGTGCCGTGCCTATCGTAGGTAGCTGCCATATCGGGCCTCTTTTTCTTCGCGCTGCTGATCGACTATGTGCACACGCGCATGCATCCCTCGCACGCGGATTCTCTGGTCGTGGACTGGATCACGAGGCTGCGCCTTGAGAATAAAGAAAAGTACGTACTCCAGCTGAAGAAGAGCCCCCCTCTCTCAGCTGCTCACGTGCATTTTGGCGGGATCTTCCTAGGGAGGAAGCGGCACGGCTGATCCAGCTGGTGTGGCGATCGTACCGGCGACGCAAGCACAAACACGAACGACACGCCCCCTGCCCGGAAAAGAGCTTGCGCTCTGCCCCGGGACGAAAAACCTACTGGGTGCTTCTCCAAAAACAGTGCAAGCAGATCAGGAAAGTCAGAAAGTACACACCACCGCACCATGTCCACAAGGCCCACACTCACCCTCCACTTGTCAGGGAGATCGACGAGATCAGGGAGCGTACGAGCCAGGCGTTTAGCACCTTTGGCACTCCCCTTCCATCACCAGTAGGCTCAAGGCTACGTCCAAAGGATGCTGTGCTGGACTCTGGCGCTGGCACAGGAAGCACAGCTGACAACTTCGACAGTGGGGAGGTGTCGGACAACAGAGAACGACTCATTGCCCAAGTGGTCAAGAACAGCCACAAGCGCCTGATTGCCCAGGTTGCCAACCTGCTGGCTGAGCATCAGGCATCATTGCTACGCGAGCTGCAGCAGATGGCAGAGCTGTCTGCAGACGTGAAGATAATAAATGAATAAAACAAATAGTCAGGTGTCCATGCACATGTGTTTTGGCGTCCCAATGTCAAAATGTTGCTGACAAGCACCTCTGCAAAATGGTGCTCTCTTTAAAGAGTAAGGGGCAAAGGCTAAACAAAAGCACCACACACAAGGCTTCATCTCTTCCACCTCCTCTTCCTCTGGTAGTAGGTTGGATTTGCCTTGCAGAGGTAAGCAGTGGTGGAAGAAGAGAGGGGGGTAATGGGGCAAGATCAGGAAGGTCCAAGCCCTGGACAAGGTAGCTGTAGGGTGGTAAGATGTAAGAGGTGGTGGTAAGATAAATGTAAGGGGCAGGTAGGGAGGGAACTCAGCAGCTGGTAGGGCGCAGACCACTCACCTTAGTGGACTGGGTGAGAAACAAAGTGAGGTGAGTCTGCTCACAGCTCTTAATGTCTTTAAGGAGATCTACTTCAGCTTCCTAAGTGTTAGTCACACTCATGAAGACATGGGTCAACTCTTCTCCACAGTACACAAGAATCATGTATGGTGGGGCAGTCCACACAGCAAATGGCCCTGCTGCCAAGGAGACATGTCTCCTGACAATTGCCTGTCCTGATGACCCTGCTGCTGTCAACTGCCTGTTTGGGCAAAGTCTTTGGCATTAGTGATCAAGGTACCCACAACATGCACCCATTTGTGAGGAAGTAGAGCTGGTGTGGGTGTACATTGTCTGCAAGGAGATGTGTGATAGGGTGCAGGAGAAGTACAGGGCGCTACTAGAACTGAAAAGCAGTGGCAAGGAGGAGGTGAAAGAGGAGGTGGCAGTGGAGGAAGGCAAGGCATCAGCTAGTGGGTGGCAGGCATGTATAAGCACAATGGAGAGGTACCATTGTTTTTAGGCCTGTTCATGTTGTCCTGTGTATTGCTTTGATCACTAATATTCCTCTTCACTCAGCCACTGGGCATCAGATGGGTGCCACTGCTTTGGTTGATAGCTTTTTGCTGATGGTGTGGCAGCTACACAACCTCCCATGCCCAGCAGTGTACCACCCTTCTATGGGGCTTTGGTGCCCTGACTCCTGGCATTTGAAGTGGTATTGAAATCTTGCTCACCAATTAATTGGTTGTGCCTTTGTTAGGTGATGCATGAGCTGCAGGGAGTGTGGTCAGTCCCATCCAGCCAGGAGCTGCCTCACACACCACCTCCTGCAAAGAAGGCTCACTTGGACCAATGTACCTATAACTTGCACTTATTTGAAATGAGAGGTCACAAATGACAATGGGACATTCTTGATTTATAGGGCAGTTTTGAAGATTTGGAACTGAATCTGTGATATTGACATGCTGAGGCAGGCTGAGCGCCACCCTGCAGGCTTCTCTTCTTCAATGTTGCTCATGTCTTTCTCCTTATCATTGTCATCCTCATCAAATCATGGCTGCTGGGATTGATTGCTGACCACTTTGTCCTTCTCAACCTCTTCTTCAGCCTGTCCCTCTCCTTCTCACCAATATCCACATAATCTATGATGCTGTCTGTCCCAATTGACATCTTGCTGGATCTCATAGGCCAACTCATCATCCTGGGACCCTGATGTTCAACATGTCAAGCACAGCAGATGGTAAGCAACATTCTGGCATACATGGGTACCTTCCCACACCCCTTACCATCATCACCCATCCAGTCCAATGGGAGCTCCTGGCAATGGGAGCTCACAGGTTAAATCTGACAAACACATTAGGACTGGGTCTCCTTTCTGGAATTCACCACCAGCATGCTGCATGGACTGTCCCACTGCCACAAATATGTTTCATCATTCACCAATGTAAACTTGCAGTCATTTGAAATGAGAGGTCCAGTCATTTTGAAAAGTGATTTTGTTTGTGAGTTTAAGCTCATAAAAATGGTTTTGATAACACAAAAATGGTTTATTTAACAATAACATCACAAATTGGATGCATCTTGAGATATGGCAGATCAAAATTCCATCATAATGAGAGATATGATACAGGGCCAGCAGTCAAAGTCAAATTAGTTTGGTGTGGTTGGCATAATGTGAGGATTA